AAAAAAAAAAAAAATAGAAAATACGCAGCTTATCATGAGAGCAAATGGTAAGTTACGTATTTTTTTATTATTTTTTAAAAAAATTGGTAGATACCTCTCAATCAATATCGCGTTTTAGCTTCAATAATTTTTCTTCATTTTGTTTCATTATCCTTTTATAACCATTCGAGTGATTCGCGCAACACAAATTTGATGGCAAATTTTAATACATTTTAAGCTAACGAGATAGACTTTAAAGAAAAGAGCATGTTTGATAAATAGTCCATGTGGGCCTCACATGAATAAATAAAAAACTCCAGATGAAATTTCAAAATCGTTTTATTGCACGTAAAACAACAATTTTTATGATTCCTCAATATTAATTATCATAGATGGATTATATGCTGTAAATAAATAAGTGCATGTTGTACATAAACCTGCTAAATCCGCGTCAAAACGATATTTATCAATAAAAGAATAGGCAAAATAAACTGTAAATTTACAAACACATGAAAAGGAAAGTGGAGGAGAGTAGGAGAAGCCTTTAAATTTCGATAGCTTCTGTGACCATTTGTGAGTACGCTGGGTGACACATAAAAATGAAAATACGTAATAGCTGCACTCAATTGCTCCAGGGGTTTTGACAGCAAGCTGCCACATCTCACGCTGCACTCCAGTGTTTTCTACAGTATTCAAGTGGATAATTGATACATAATGTATGTATATTATACACCTATCTACATTTTAAGACGTAGGATGGATTGTCTAGTTTGCGTGTATGTCCTGGAGTTTTCGACACGATGGGGTGTCCATGTTTTTCGCCTTTTGGAATAGCTCGGCATCACCGAAGTTTCTCGCCTTCCAAACCATTGAGTCCTCTGCGGCAAAAAATAAATAAATATGATTCATCACAAGTGAAATAATAAATACTGTTCTTCCAGATAAATCAGTGGAAATACGGACTGTAACTTTTTTCTCTATAACAAGCGTTCCGGAGGTTTATCATGTACTCATCTTCCACTGATATCTCCAATCTACGTAAGCTGCCCTGATACTCGCTGTGAAAATTCTCCTTGACATAGTAGGGCACTTTGTGGTCTTGAGTTGTCCTCTGAACTGAATATTTCCTGGGGAATAAAAGAAACCACTCACATACAACGATTCCAACAGCATTTTATTTCCATAGATTCAAAATCAAATGAATAGGACTTACGCATTTGAGTGTAAACTATAAACAGGATCTGAGATGAAGAAACTGCTCATCATGGTGAGTACTATGAGTAATAGGACCGGTAACATTTGGAGGAAAGCAGTGTAGCCATTGGCTTGCTCTCTGTGTGCATGCTGCTGTTGATTATCAGGTGTTTGCCTCATCCATCTGCCACCAGATCGTCTCATGTAGAACTCCTGCTGTGGGAAACCACCCCCAAAGAACATGTTGAACAATTCTTCAGCTGTAAAATCAGTCTCAAATCCCCGTGAGTAGTTGTAATGTGTATGAGTCGATCGTGAATGCGCTGATTGCATTCTATCCTCGTCTGAGCCATACAAATCATACTGCTTACGTTTCTCAGGGTCTGTCAATACTGCCACAGCATTACCAATAGCTGAAATCCATTACCAGAGTCAGATAAGCAATAAAAATCATTTTCAAACAGTTCTAAATCGAGAAGCAGTTCAGCATAACGAGTCCCCTTAGAAAAAAAAACATTCCCCATATACCTTTGAAGGATTCGGCTGCACCAGGAGCTTTATTTTTATCAGGATGAAGCTGGAGGGCCAATTTCTTGTATGCCTTCTTGATTTCACTGTCAGTGGCTTCCTTAGTAACACCCAATATCTCATAATAATCTTTGCACTTTTTTATTCTGTAAACGTAAACAAAAACCATTTATTACGATACCCCCACAGGAATATTCACTACCTGGATTTGATTATCATTATTATCTTACCGTTTAACATACTCATACTGTTCCTTACTGTAATCAGCATTGGCCTGTGGTTGGCTAGTTTCTTTATTCGTCGCGGTGGCCTGGCGTTTCCTGAGTTCAGGTTCCGGCTCTGATTTCCTGTTCTGCTTGGACAATACTGAGATTCTCGCGAGAATTTCTAAAACAAGTGAAAAAAAATGAAAATCCATCATTAAATAATCGACTGAAGTGCTCCACCTTAATCAAAACGAAAACTCACCTTCCACTCGTTTGGTGGGATAAAGTTTCATAGCTTTCCTCACGAATTTTTCCGCATCCTCGAATCTGCTTTCCCTCATGTACTGCTCAGCAAGATCCAGACACCTGTCTGCCTCGTCCTTATTGCTGTCCATATTCCAAATATTCAAGGGAACTGCAATAAAAATTTTAACTTCTCACGATTCCCTCGAATTCAAAACCGATCAAGTGCTGACAGAGCATAATCCAGGGGAATCCAATTGACCATTCACAATCCACCAGTCAGCAGCTTTCTGTCAAATTGAATTGTTTCAATCATAAATGACGTCATCTCAGAATCACGAGAGTATCTCTCAATACGCCATATACATCAAGAATTAACAATTTTCATCGGGAGGAAAAATGCACACATCATATTTACCACCTACGATTATTCACCACGTAGTTGTCACGAGATTCTCACCCCTCCGAGGGTCCACGTTGGTCCGCTAGGTCTCGCATTGGGTCAAGTCAATCAGCAACTATATAAATTTTACGTGTAACTCTGACTTATCCAGTCGTTTACAATTAATTCTTCATATGTGTTGCTGCTCACACACATGGACGCCCTATTTTTTCACAAAGCCCACATATGACACAGATATCACAATCAAAATGGCAGTCTTCTCATGAAAATATTGTACAACCTCCATACCACTTAAATTCTAAAAAGCTAAGTCCCTAGATTTTCCCATGTTATGTCCTAGCGAAGTTACTAGCAGGACAGTGGCGCCATTTACAAATAATTGCGCCAAGTTTTAAAACGTGGAATACGTTAGCCGCTAAACCTCAAATGAGGACTCCATCGATGTCGACTCGTTCAATTTCAAATAGTCGGATTCAGGTTTTATAAATAAAATAAATCCGAAACACCAGTGCTTAGGAGAGCACGTAACACACTTTATTTAATAACTTCCAAACTTAAGTTGAACCTTGCAATACTAACAGACTTTAAGAAAAATAAAACAAAACTAAACTGTGTAACTTGGAAAATAATTAATTTGAAGAGAGAAGCGTCACAGTAACAAGTTAGAATCGAACTTACTTAATCACGGGCCCCGGGGCACTGTGCATTTGGAAGAAATATATTTTTTTATGAACTTTTCAAACTTTTTTCTTCATAAATATGTAGGTAGTAATTTGGTGGAATTTAGGAGAACATTATCAGAATTTAGGAGTAATTAGTTTTCGTTCAATTGATTTTTCTTTTTTGTCAATAATAATGAGCAGAAGTTATTCTGAAAAAAATAAAAAATAATTGGAATCGATAGAGAATAATTCGGTGGTCATTATAATCAAGGTTTCATAATTTCAAAACTCCATTTGTTTGCGTACATTATATAGTTGGGACAGTCACGCATGCGCAGTAGGCTTAAGGTAAGCGAATTGCCGATTTCCGCTCCCCTTGATTTCGCGGTGTATTTGGCGAACAAAGTACGAAATAATTTAGAAACATTTAGAAAACCATTTCCATAATTTGGAAACAAATATTGTATTAATTATTAATAAAAAAAACTGTTGGACCGTATAGTTGGCGAATATTGACCCACATTGACCCAAATTCAATAAAAACCACTTCGCTTACGTCAATTCGCTTACCTCGAGCCTAGTACGCATGCGTGACTGTCCTAACTATATAATCCGCAAAATAATCACGGTTTTAGTTTTTACAAATAAAACCATTAACTCTTAAATTATGAAACCTTGATTATAATAACCACCAAATTATTCTCTATCGATTCCAATTATTTTTGAATTGTTTAATCATAACTTCTGCTTATTATTATTGTAAAAAAAGAAAAATCCATTAAACGAAAATTAATTACTCCCAAATTCTAATTCAATTTCTTTATTCAATTCCTTTATTAATGTTTCCCCTAAGGGTTACATGAGCTTCCGTTTCCTCTTTCCAATTTTACATTTTTGTTTTAAACATTTTTGTTTTGAAACCATGGACCTAGCATCCCATCCCTCCGCACAGCATTCGCTCTACCGGTACCCGCGCAAGACAATCCTTTGCCGGGAGCCCTCCCAAAGGCTTCGCCTTTCCCCTTACAATTTTTACCCTTTTTTTAAACTTTTTACTCTTTTTACATCTTTTACATTTTTACAGTTTTTTACATTTTCATCTCTACATTTCTGTTTGCACAATCCTTAGTTTATCCACCCATCCCTCCGAGCTGCCCATGCCGATCAGGCCTCTCGCACCTCCTCCATACCGCCTACCGCTTATCATCTATCCTCTATTTCCACCATTTGTCCATACCGTCTGTACTTCTGCCTATCCTTAACTCGTTTTTTGCCGTAGAGAGAGAGGACCTCTGCTTCCGGCTTCCGATCATACCCTTTCATAACGGGTTAGTCATCCTTCTCCCTCCCTTCGTTATCCACCCTTTTAGCAACTCTCTTCTCCTAACCCTAACCCTTCTTCCCTTCCTAGTCTCTCCCATTTTCTCATCCATTTCTCTCCAGAACCATGCTCATTCAAAATCCCCCTCACCTTTTCCCACAGACTTTTTTCGGCATCCACATCTCCCGCGCATTCTTCCAATACATGCTCCCATGTTTCCTCCCTGTTCCTACACCTTCTACATCTTCTTGCCTCCTCACTTTGCCAGCTTATTTCACCATTCATCCCCCCTCCCAGTCTGAACCTCGCTACCCTATTCCACCTCTCCTCCCCCCAGCACTTTTCCAGGTAACTTGGAATCCCTGCCTCCGCTACTCCCTCGTACCACCTGTTCAGCCCTGAGCTCCTATATTTCTCCCATCTCTCTATCTCCTGGTTTACCCTTCCTAACTGTAATATTTCCTCGACGTTTTCCTTTTCTTTTTTGCCCCCTGCCCTCTCTTCACCTTTTTTGGACAAACCGCGGACTACTCTAAACTTTTCCCTGCCTTCCTCCCACTTTGAGACTAGGGCTAACTCCTCCCTCCCTTCTATTTCTGTTAAACACTTCCTCGCTATCTCGCTTCCCCTACCAGAGATTATAGGGGAGATTGCTAGGGCTTATGGAAAGGCTTGGGCGAGTGATTCATTGCGGCGGCTACGGAACTACGCCCAGGGAGCCCGTACGTGTAAGTAAAACAGGTCGTGAGCCCGTGAGTGTCGATAATTTTCAGAGCCCGTGCGTGTCGATAATGTACAGAGCCCGTGAGTATGGATACGACAGAGCGCGAGCCCGTGAATGTCGATCATTCGAGGCGGTCGTGAGTGTCACTAAGGTAGGGCACTTATTGAAATAACGATGACGTCCGAAAACGAACGAAAACATCCGATGTACCGGAGAGTGGGGGTATGATGGAGACACAACCGATGGACGGAATGAAAAAGCGAGTTAACGTTCATAAATACGCCATTTGTTGAAAAATTGAGGAAAAATTGTCCCGAACATGTATACTCAAACGATTGAGAATCGTCTGAAACGTGGAGATTAAGTAGCCCCTCGGAACTTTTTTTTTTAAACGATTTCTTTTTTGTTAACAAATTCAAAAGTGATTAAACTAATTCGGGAAAAATTGTCTCGCAAATATATATTCAAACGATTGGGAATCTCCTGAAACGTCGAGATTTATTTGTCCCTCGGAACTTTTTTTTTTAAACGGATCGATTTTTGTTAACAAATTGAAAAATGACTAAACAAATTCGGGAAAAATTGTCTCGCAAATGTATACTCAAACGATTGAGAATCGTCTGAAACGTGGAGATTAATTAGTCCGTCGGAACTTTTTTTTTTAAACGATTCCTTTTTTGTTAACAAATTCAAAAGTGATTAAACAAATTCGGGAAAAATTGTCTCGCAAATGTATACTCAAACGATTGAGAATCGTCTGAAACGTGGAGATTAATTAGTCCCTCGGAACTTTTTTTTTTAAACGATTTCTTTT